TATATATATATATATATATATATATATATATATATATATATATATACTAAAATTAACTACTACTTACTACTTGTACTACTATTCCTACTTGGCGGTTTTCCACTTATCATGGGGCTTCAGGGTACAGATCCCTCGCGATAAATGAGGAACTACTGTATTGTAAAAAAAATTTTGAAAATATTGGTTTGGCAAAGCACTGGTGTCACATTCAATATTTAATTTTCTGAGCTCATTTATTTAAAAAGAAGACATGAAGGACAGAAAACAAAAATGTTGACTATTTTAAAAGCACTTCTTCATGTCGAGCGCACTGCTGCTGGTTCATGCTTCATAATGGTGACTTGGAGGAAATCCAAGCCTCAGAAAGTATCTCCGTGCTTAATGCTCTCCCTGGCAGAGGCCCACGCTCACCACTGAGACTCCACCTGCTCTGCATCAATCACCTGTTGTTGCTGATACTGCATGAGCTGCTGTTGCTGGTAGTGCTGGAGCTGCTGAAGCTGCTGGAGCTGCTGCAGCTGAGTCTGTTGCTGGAGGCTGAACTGCTGCTGCTGCTGCTGCTGCTGCTGAGGCAGGAAGTGAGCCTGCCCGTCGTATCCCTCCGTCCCCATGATGTAAGAGCCTGCGGGGGCAGACGCCACGCCGCTGGAGGGGTCGTTGTTGGTCGGCTCCCATGCATCAGACGATGAGAGGCAGTAATGGCCCTGGGAGACATACGTGTGGGGCCACACGTCAGCAGAGGAATGGTGTAATATCTGATCTGGAAAGAGTTAAGAATGCAGCAGGTGCTGTTAGTGCAGGAGAGGGGATGGATGCATGAACACTATGTGGTTCAGAGAGATACATGTTGTTTTGACTAATATCTAGATGAAAATCTGACTGAAATATGTCAAAAGCTCCTCTGTTTGCACTAAAAAAATCTAAAAATTGTCACATTTTACTCTGTTGAGTTATCGCTCTTGTCAAACTGTAGGGAACACTCATAATTTCAAAGCAGTTTTTATATATTTTATTCTCCCTGAAGAAAAAAACAAAACATAAATTAAAATCTTCAACCTTAAAACAAAAACTTCAAAAGGGACTCGTTACTGTATTTTCATCGCAAGGCCAGACTGAGACTGAAAATGTTTGCAAAGTCATTTTAGTCAAAACTGACCGTAAACTAAAACAGCCTGGAAGCAAGTCAGTAAAACTTTTACAGCAGACCCTCGCTACTTCACGATCCATTTTTTGCGGACTCACTCTATCGCGGTTTTTCAAAGTAAGATTGAACATGACAAACTTGGTTGATTGATGGACACGCCGCAAGATTGGCATGGATTTTTTATTTAAAATAAATCATTTAACCGAAATGCTTAGTAACCCAGCCACTGAGTGGCTCAGTAACTGTCAGCTCTGTTTAACCCGGCTGCTGATTTGCTGTTACACTAGTAGCAGGGGGTTTCTTTACCTCCACTCTTTTTCAACTGGACTGCTCCCAAATGTTCTATGAGTTCAACAGTTTCTGGCGGCGAACCGGAACATCAAACTTCAAGATGGCCGTACCTATGCGAATGTTGTCGGCCACCTACAGCACGATTGTTAAGATGGAAGCTGTACTGGTCGTGTGGATTAATGACTACAGAAACAACGTCACTTTGGATACCAACACCAAAGGTGAAACAACTTTACTGTATGATCATCTTCAGCAAGTAGTACGGAGGAACTGAGACATGGCGATGTAAATGAAGAGCGAGGGGGTGGTGTCATTAACCCAAAGCTGGACCGTTCGACCGCCTGGTTCAACTACCAAACCACTGCATTCAGTGCCAGTAAGGGATGGTTCGACAAATTTCAAAAACAATTTGGATTAAAAAGTGTTTCTCTGCGTCTGCTGACAGCAGGAGGGGAGGAGTTTGTTAACACGACGTTCAAAGATCTGATCACTGAGCCGGGGGTCTACAGGTCTGAACAAGTTTTTAACGTGGATGAAACTGGCCTGTTCTGGAAAAAGATGCCATCTTGCACTTTTATTATGAACGACGAAGCCAAAGCACCTGGTTTAATCTCATCTTCATCACCTTCATCGTCATCCCTGGACAGCAGCTTCATCTTTTCTGGTGAGTACCCATTTAAAATTAATATTTTTTAAAGGTTTAAGTTACGAAAATTGTTAAGAACCTTGCAAGACTGTAGGAAGGTTGTAAAACGCCATTATATACCTGTATATAAATACTGAAATAAACTACTACTTACTACGACTACTTCTAGTGTACATAATTTTGTTCCATCTCATGAACCACATGATATGGTAATGACAATAAAGTTTACTGAACTTGAACTTGAACTACTGTATCCCTACTTCACGGTTTTTCACTTATCACATGGGGGGTGGGGGGCTGCAATAAACAAGAGACTACTGTGTTATTTGTGGCAACGTGGAATCACCCTCAGCTACGTTCATTTTAGTCCTTGTTGTGAATGAGTCATGGCTGGAAACATTTAAAAATAACTTTATCTTTTGTTTTGTTATAAATTCTAGAATTGCGCCGCTAAATTCTAGAATTGTGCCGCTCAAGGTGGCTGCATGTTGGAGTAGCTCTGTTACTTTCATTCTGAGATATTACTTTCAATAATTTTAATTCCTCTTTTTTCTGGATATAAATCGCTTTTTTTGGATGATTATTTCCTCTGGTGTCGGATGCTGTGCAGCTGGAAGGATTTTTACAGAAATATCTTTGCTTTTGGACATTTGTTATGATGCGTAACCATAACAACAAGGTTTTTTACAACCGGGAGCAGCTGATTAACATCTCCAAATCTCAAATAATATCTCAACTACAGCCTCAAATCCCAAATGAGTTGAAAAGGAGGTGTCGTGGATGCAGAGCAGGAGCAAAGAAGAGGGAGAAAGAGAGAAGAATGCAGTTTAAACCATCTCTTCCATCGATCATGATGGGCAATGTGAGATCGCTGGGAAACAAGTTGGATGAACTTCAAGCCCTATCAAGGACCCATCCAGAGTATCGGGAATGCAGTGTTATGTGTTTCACTGAGACATGGTTGCAGGATCATATCCCTGACTCCAGCGTTTCCTTGCCAGGCTTTCTTACCATACGAGCTGATAGAGATTTAAAGAGGAGTGGCAAAAGGAAAGGAGGTGGGTTGGCAGTGCTTGTGAACAACAGATGGTGTAATCCTGGACATCTTACTGTGAAGTGTCGTCTCTGCAGTCCAGATATTGAACTGTTAGCCCTAAGTTGTCACCCATATTATTTGCCAAGAGAGTTCACCAGTGTTATTTTGACAACTGTTTACATTCAACCCAATGCTGTTGCCGAGACTGCGCGTGATGTCATCAGCTCCGAGGTTGCTAAGCTACAAACACAACACCCTAGTGCATTTGTTGCAATATCTGGGGATTTTAATCATGCCTCTCTCTCTGCTACACTTCCGACATTCGAACAGTTTGTCAGCTGCTCTACCAGAGAAAACAAAACGCTGGACTTGTTTTATTCAAATGTCAAGGATTCATACATCGCTAAAGCAAGACCCCCTCTTGGCAAATCAGATCACAATCTTGTGTATCTCTGCTCAAAATATAAACCCCTTGTTCAGAGGCAACCTGCAATAAAGAGAACAGTGAGAAAATGGTCAATGGAAGCTGAAGAAGCCCTGCTTATTTTGACGCTACAGACTGGGATGCACTGTGCCAGCCACATGGAGAGGACATCAATGCCATGACTGAGTGTGTGACCGACTATATAAACTTCTGTGTAAACAACACTATCCCCACCAGAACAGTGAGATGCTTCCCCAATAACAAACCCTTGATTACCACTGACCTGAAGGAACTGCTAAACCAGAAAAAAAGAGCCTTCAGGGAGAGAGACAGGGAATTATTGAAGAGCACACAGAAGCAACTAAAAGTCAAGATAAGAAACAGCAAGGAGGTGTACAAGAAGAAGCTGGAGAGCAAGCTCCAACAGAACAATATCAGAGAGGTGTGGTCAGGGATGAAAAAGATCACAGGCTTCAAGCAGAAGGAGGATCAGAAGGATGGAAGCCTGGACAGAGCCAATGAACTGAACACATTCTTCAATAGGATCAGTTCAGGAACAAGCTCAGCATCCTCCTCTCTTGCCCACAGCCAAACATACATACCACCCTCCATTGACCCAAGGCTGTCCTGTCACACCTCAAATATTGTATCTACCACCTCAGTCATGGACCCTTCTTCTACATATTGGTCTTCAACTAAATCAGAAGATGCTGATACCTCCTTTGCCTCCCTCCTCTGTGTCTCCAGAAGTCCGGTGAAGAAGCAGCTGGAGAGACTGAACCGGAATAAGGCTGCAGGTCCAGATGGTGTCAGTCCCAGAGTCCTGAAGGTCTGTGCAGAGCAGCCCTGTGGGGTTCTGCAGCACCTCTTCAACCTTAGCCTGACCCAGGAGAAGGTTCCAGTGTTGTGGAAAACATCCTGTCTTGTTCCAGTACCAAAGAAAACTCATCCATCAGTCCTCAATGAATATAGACCTGTTGCCCTGACATCCCACATCATGAAGGTCCTAGAGACTTCTGCTGACCCACCTGACTAGACAAACAAGCACATATCAGGACCCACTGCAGTTTGCTTATCAGCATGGACTTGGAGTTGAAGATGCCATCATACACCTGCTTCAGCAAACTCACTGTCATCTAGAAAAGGCAGACAGCACTGTGAGAGTCATGTTCTTTGATTTCTCCAGTGCATTTAACATAATCCAGCCTGATTTGCTTTGTCAGAAACTTCAGAAGACTCAGGTGGAGGCCTCAACAATCACCTGGATCAAAGACTACCTTTCAAACAGACCACAGTTTGTGAGACTGAAGGGTTGTGTGTCTGACCAGGTGGTCAGTAGCTCAGGAGCACCACAGGGGACTGTACTCTCACCATTCCTTTTCACTCTGTACACCTCAGATTTCCAGTATAAAACAGACTCCTGTCATCTGCAGAAATATTCTGATGACTCTGCAGTGGTCGGTTGTATCAGAGATGGACAAGAAGCTGAGTACAGGGAACTGGTGGACCGCTTTGTGGCATGGTGTGGAAACAATCATCTCATCTTGAATGTGAACAAAACAAAGGAGATGATTGTAGATTTCAGGAGAATCAGGAATAGATCCAACCTTATTTTCATCATGGGAGAAGAAGTGGAGGTGGTGGAGAAGTATAAATACCTTGGAGTTCACCTGGACAATAGACTGGACTGGAAATGCAACAGTGAAGCGTCTACAAGAAGGGACAAAGCAGACTGTACTTTTTGAGGAAGCTGAAGTCCTTCAACGTTTGCAGCAAGATGCTGCATATCTTCTTTAAGTCTGTTGTAGAGAGTGCCATCTCTTCTGCCATCCTCTGCTGGGGTAGCAGCACCAGAGCAAGTGACTTAAAAAAGATCAACAAGCTCATAAAGAAGACTGGCTCAGTTCTAGGGACTCCTCTAGAACCTTTGGAGATGATTGTTCAAAGAAGGATTCTTCATAAAATGAAGAACATTATAGACAACCCTCAGCATCCTCTTCATCAGACTGTCATACAACAACAAAGTGTCTTCAGTCAGAGGCTTCTTCAAATCCGTTGTAGGACAGACCGCTGCAAGAGATCCTTCCTGCCCACAGCCATCAGCATCTATAACAACTCTTTAATGAAACCAGGATGATGAGTTACAACAACATTTAATTTCCCTCTGGGATTAATAAAGTATTTTTGAATTGAATTGAATTGAATTGTTTAATAAATAGACTCAGATCAAATCCTGGGAGCTCCTAGAATGGTGAAGTTAAAAAAGCACTTTAAAGATTAACCCTAAAGCAACAGGACGTTTGTAAGAGCGCCTCAAACTCTATTATAAGTTGCGATCAAACGCTCTGTTGATGAAGGTGCAGCGGTTACAACACTGAACTTCAACTGGTGGTCCGCAGGCCTTATCTGGTCTGCTAGCTCATTCCATTTGGCCCCCAAACTAATAAATTATTAATAAATTGTGTACAAGCTAACACAATAAGGCAGCACTGCTTTAGCCAGTCTGGGTGTTCAGTCACATGATCCGGCTCAACTGATAAGGAGGCTTATGTGTCAGTTGTTTATTTTTCATTCTGTATAGGCTTGGTACGTGTCCCTGGGCAAGACACTGAACCCCCCATAACCTCTGATGTGTGTACCATCGGTGTATGAATGTAATATAAAAGCACTGATTAGTCTCTTTAGAATGATTTGTTCAATTAGCTTTGTATAGATCTAGTAGAGTGCTGTATGAATGGGTAAATGAGGCACAGATTGTAGTGTAAAGCACTTTGAGTGTCTTGATAAGATAGAAAGGTGCTATATAAGAACAGTCCATTTACCATTCCTTCCAGCTCCACACGTGTCTCTCATCAGTAATCAGCTCACGTTATATTAGCCGATTTTACTCCAGGCCGTCCTCAGTTATTGTACATGGGAGGCTTGGAACAGTGTAAGTCTCAACTTGCACTGTTTCTGGTGTTTTTAATGAGGCATTTGTTGAACTAAAAACACTCATATGTTCATTATTATTATTATTGCATGGTGGAACATTGCCTTTTTCAGCATTTACATCATATTTTTTTCCACATTTAACTTTCCTGTGCAATAATTTCTACTTATATGAAAAATTATGGAAAATGGATGACATCTTTAAGAAAAAAAGAACATGGAAATAATTAAAACACCCAGAAACCATGGCTAATCAAAGGCCCTTACACTCTCTGATGAGAACAACTCTAACCTTTGACCTGCAGAGCCATGACACAAAGCAATTGTGAAAATATTCTGAACATGGTTTTTTGTGTCTAGTGTCTTTCTCTCTTGGCCTCTTTGTGATCACTGCCTCTGCACCATCTGCTTCATGTTGTATCTGCAGACTTTTACCTCGACTTGTGATGCTCTCCTGGTTGACCTCGCTAAGGTGAGCTACGCTGCCCTGGTTTGAACCCGACCGTGGACTCTCACCATCCATCGAGGACCACGCCAGGAGTGTTGCCTCGGAGATTGCAAACTGCTGCAGTATGCCTGAGGTTATAATGCAAAGGACAAATCCCATTCAGGGTGGACAACTCCGTCAAACTGGATTTAATTGGCTGAACATTTGGCATAAATTCCAAAAAATAAATTGCAACACATTTAACTTTTATTTATTTATTTGCTAATAACAGTTCACAGGCTCTGTCATGCTCCTGCCCTCTGTCAAGCGTGTGCACGTTTCCAACCTGCAGCAAAACGCGCCTCCTTCTCGCCGTCGCTGAGGTCGCTGTAGGCGTCGTTTTCCAGCCGCCTCTCTTTTTCACGCTCCTGGGTGCTGATGCGGGATTGAGGGACACCCCCTGAGCCAACCGTCTGCATGCCCCAGTTTTGCCACTCGATCATGTGCGCGACGCGCCCCTGGGCCATGGCCGTGGGTTTGGTTACTCTTTCTTTCATGGTGCGGGTCACTCCTGAGCAAGGAGGAAACAGGGGGAAGGAGGAAGGCAGAAAAAGGAATGGATAATAGAAAAAAGAAAGAAGGGGAAAGAAAAGGTAGAAATGTTATCATCGTGTGTTTATTGCTGCTGAATCGTGAAAGCTGGGATGGCCAATGACAATATCAGGTAGGATTAGGTTGATCAACTCATTTGACAACTGAGAGCGTGATTTGATGAGAAGTCACCACAAATGAGCTTAGCAAACACAAAAATGGCTATAATTTAGTCAGATTTACAGATAATGAGCTAAAATTGGGTGTGGCAGTAGCTGAGAGTAATTCCCATCATATACTCAGTGCTAACACATCGTGCAAAATCTCACAATATGAGATGAGATTGTGCATAATGTTCATTTTTAAGATTTGACCAAACTGCTCTGTCTCTAGCCTCATAATTTTCATTTCAAACCCTGGCATGAGAGGTGGCGAGCTTTACAAACTTTGGTTGTAGCTCTGGTTAAACAAGAAAAACAAAAACATCATCAGTCAAATCCCACTGATCAGATGTGTGTGTGTAAATGAGGATGAGCATGGATAATAAAAACAGCTAAAGACTACGGTCGTGCAGGCGACATTAATGTGTTTAATGAGACATCACCTGCTCACATTACATGGAAGAGAGGAGGCAGGCTGTGTCTTTTCTGACACAGGTGCATCATGGGATGGAGCAGGTTAATTGGGGTGAGGCGGCTGCGTGGCGTGACTGATGAGAAGCTGGCTTGTTGACACCAGAGCTCTTTTCACACCTCTGCTATGCTGCGCTGGGTAAGCAGAAAGCTACTCTCCTTCTCTGTGCTGTTTGCCTGAGAACTACTCAACACTGCTGAACTTACACTTTCTTAGAGTAGACATTAATTTCAAAACTGCAGCGCTAACACCGGCTCATACCTGCTTTGCTCTAGTTTTCACGTGACCAACATGTGACACAAACTGTAACTCCCTGAGTCTCTTCTGATGCTGGTGCACGGAGATGAGATTTATGAATCAATTTTTGGACACACCAGCACCGCACAAAACAACTGCTGCACTCCATCACACTGTATCGTCAAGTCCAAGAAAACTGAACCAAACAGCAGGAGAAGACTGAAAACACTAAACTTAGACACTATATTAAACACTAATAAACTGCATGATGATGAGCAGCGTGTGTGTGCATGTGTGCATGTGAACGTGTGCTATGCATGTCCAGCTGAATTTGCATCGCCAATGCCTCTCGGGGAACCATTGGCGCCTGATAATGTCAGTGTGGGGAGGAAGTGAAACAGGGGAACCCTTTTTAAGGGTACCATGCTGACGCCAGTGTCCACTGGGGACAGAGCCAACATGGGGTCATTTACCAGAACCAGCACAGACACACACCTGACACACCTGACAGAGAAGACTTAGCCAGAGCCCCGATGCCATAGGCATTTGAGTTCCTCTTGAGCCGAGGCAGGATTGATGTGGTGTCTTCCATGGACAGCTGGAGGGAGAGAAGAGGGAGGAATGGAGGAGGAAGGAGAGGGGGAGTGTGGAGAAAAGGACAGCATGGACACAAAGACATTGACACAGCGTGTGTTAAAGAGAGGGGTGAGTGGAGAGGATGGAGATGTTGGGTTAATACAAAGGTCAAAATCTGTATTACCCAAATCTTTAGTTCAAGTGCCGTTAACAAATATGTTTGTGTGCCAATACAATAAAACACAGGGTCTACTGTAAAGCTAAGGAGGGAGGCGGTGGTGGGGCGGGGGGACTACGAGGGGAAAAGAAGCTGGTAGCTACAGGGTGATTCAAATCAGAACAGGCAAAAGAAGCTGACGGGGAGAGGACAAGTATGGAGGAATGATGCCACACACTTACATTGATTCCTTCCCATGAAAATTCTGAACGTCCATGCTGAGGAAGAGAAACGAGGGGGAGGGAGGGCGGTATGGAGAAAGAAGGAGCAGGAAAGAGTGAGAGAGTGACAGGACAGACAGAACATTGATGTGCATCCAAGGGAGACGCAGAGTTGATTTCACATCAGACGTTCAGATGAAGAAATGATAGGAGAGGTGTTCAAAAAAAAAAAAAAGAAAGACAAATAAACAGGAATTTCCAGGATTGAGGAGTAAAGAGCCAGAATGACAGGGAGAAGGGAGGGAGGGATTAGGAAGGGATCAGTTTTTATTTGCTTAGTTATGTTTAGCAGAGTGAAAACGTTACGATTAAACGAGTTTCCTCCTCGGGTACAAGTGCTGCCAAAAACTCTGAAAGCCAGCGGATTACTGTGTGCGGGTTTGAGAGAGATGTCAGTGGTGTGCTGATCTGTATCTGATGCTGCAGATAGACAGAGGACTGAGGGCAACGGGGGGTGGGGGTGGGGGGAAGGAGGGTAGGGAGAATGGGGGGGGGGGGGGGGGGGGGGACTCAGATGATGAGGACAAAGCAGATAAACAGTAGATTCTTCTACACTGCTTCCATGGATCAGCTGGGCTGACACAAACTAGACTGGGGGCACTTGTGGGCTACCAGCTGTGCTGTAAGATTTTCACCTTCCTGCTGATGTACTCAGACAAAAATGACACAACTGGGACATACAGGATGCTCATCAAGAGACTTTTAAATGAAGAGTTAAAGGGGTGGTTCAGACCTCTTGAGTTGAAGTTCTGTTTCATTTGAAGGTTTCTGTGAAACACCCAGGATCTGTGTCTCTGTTGGTTTTACATTTGTTTTTATTTTTAGGTTATTAAGTTTGTTTTCTGCTTGTGTACTTTGTTCTGGTCCTCTGTGTTTCCTCTGTGCCATCAGTCAGTTTCTTGCTTCTCCTCCACTCGTACCTGCACCCTGTTTCATTTAACTCAGTGGCCTCCCATCTCCTCCTCATCTTCTTCTTTTGGCTTTTCCCTCTGCAGGGGTCGCCACAGCGAGTCATTCTCCTCCATCTCACTCTGTCCTCTGCATCCTCTGTCCTCACTCCAACTACCTTCATGTCCTCATCCATTTACAGTATTTCCTCTTTAGCTTTCTTCTTTGTCTTTTTCCTGGCAGCTGCATTTCTAACATCCTTCTACCAGTATACCCAATGTCCCTCCTCTGGACATGTCCAAACCATCTCAGTCTGGTCTCTCTAACTTTATCTCCCAGTTGTTCAACCTGTGCTGTACCTCTGATGAGCTCATTCCTAATCTTATCCTTGTCACTCCTAAGGAGGACCTCAACATCTTCATTTCTGCCACTTGCAGTTCTTTCTTGTCTTTTTGTCAATACCACTGTCTCCAGACCATACAACATAGCTGGTCTCACAACTGTCTTGTAAACTTTTCCTTTGATCTTTGCTGACACCTGTTTGTCACAAATCTCTCCTGAAACTTTTCTCCATCCACTCCATCCTGCCTGGACTCTCTTTTTCACTTCTTTACCACATTCCCCATTTTCCTGGAGAGTGGACCCCAATACTTGAAGTCCCGCACCTTTGTGACCTCTGCTCCTTGTAGCCTCACTGTTATACCTATCTCCCTCTCATTCACACATGTACTCTTTCTTACTACGGCTGACTTTAATTCCTCTTCTTTCAAGTGCATACCTCCACCTCTCCAAGTTCTCTTCCACCTGTTCCCTGTTCTCACCACAGACCACGATGTCATCTGCAAACATCATAGTCCATGAGGATTCCTGCCTGACTTCATCTGTTAGTCGGTCCATCACCAGAGCAAACAAGAAGGGGCTCAGAGTCGATCCTTGATGCACTTCCACCTCCACCTTGAAGCTGTCTGTCACTCCTACAGCACATCTCACCACTGTCCTGCTATCTTCATACATGTCCTGTACCAGTCTAACATACTTCTCTGCTACTCCAGATTTCCTCATGCCTCCCATCTCCTCATCCAGTCCTTATTCCTTGTCTCCATTCTCACATCATTCTGGCATTATTTGGCTTTCATGCTACATCCATCTGTGAGTCTTCAAGTATATTTAGCAAGTTTTGTGCCATCTCATTATCTTTTTTGTTGTTGGTTAAAATAAAGTCTAGTTTTATTTTCTGAGCTCTTTGTGTTGGTCTGCATTCCTGGGTTCAAATCCTTCTAAACTGTGACAAACATAATAGTAAATATATGCAGTGAAATGCACATAGTGCCAGTTGTTTTGACTAAAAACATGCATTAAAATGTTTTATATTTTGGACAGACATTAACTATAAAGTTGTAATCATAACCTAATGCTAATCTGCCCGTTTGTTGTTATGAGCAGATGAAACATTTTTCACATACAACAACCACACTAACTTATATATATCACTTAAAAAAAAAACAATAAAATATAAACATTTTTAGAATTTAAACATATGCAGCTCTAATAAAATCAACTTTTATTCCCTTTTACATCAATTCTATAACTATTTAGGACGTGATTATCATCTAGCATCCATTGGGGTGTGGGGTCCTTCTTCTCACGGTACTGTCTCTATGAACAGCCTCAGTTTTGTTTCATTGCTCATAATCTTTCCACCGAACTCCACTTCAACAGATCTGAACTATCCTTTTAATTTTTTTTTACCATACATGCATAAGATTATGAATTACAGTACCGGTAGTTCTCAGATGGTTTGGCACTTTGGGAACAACAAATAGTTCACTTGTTAGTAATCCCACACTCCTGGTCAGCTTGTGTGAAGCTACAGCCTGCAGGCAGTTTCACAGCCAGTGTGACCTCATCAGTTGTTTTCAAGCCCAGAGTTTGGCATTGAAACGGATGTGACAGATGAAGTGTGGATCTGACAACCAACAGACACAATCCATGCCCATTCAGGCAGGTAAAGGTTACATTGCCTTTACGTCTATTTTATGCTAAACTGAACTTTAATGGAGACAATGAATTTCATGTTTTACAAACAAAAAAATCCTGAAAATAGAAACTGAGACAATGTTTTCAAGTGAAGAGCATTTATGCATTCACCTAAAACAAATCCCTTCAGTACGGAGCTCTGATCATTCAGGTGTGAAGCATCAAGATCTGATCACCAAACCACATTCATTCTGGGCCACATTCTTTTACGGTAAAAGCTAATTCACTCTGGATACTTTTAAGGATTGTCTACTCAACTGACAAACCTCCTGCAAGTTCGACAGAAAACACTTAACATACCGTAGTTCAGCATGAAGCAAGACCCCTGCCGCTGTCACTGCACATTCATTTTGCATAAGGTTGTAGATAAAAATAAATGGCCTTAAAGTGAGAGAATGTTGTTTAAACACGGTGTGTGTCAGGACTTACATTCCCCAAGGTTAGATCTGACATGGAGGAAATGGTTGAAAGAACTGTGCGAGTGTAGATGGATACAGGATCATCAATTTCTGCACAACTAACAATTGATTTTTGCAAACAGAAATAAAGCAAGCTACGTTCTTGATGTTGAGTTATATAGTGAAGCTATTTCACCCTCAAAAACTAACACTCAAAGGAAATTCTGCACAGCTCAGGAGCAAGTCTGGCATAAACCTTATTAAACTGGAATTATTACTGTAATTCCATGCTCCTGTGAAGCTTAGAAGTATGTCAGGAAGAAGAAAAACTTGTTCTTTAGTTCTACTTTAGCTTAGCAAAGCATGGTTTAGGGGTTATAAAGGCTGCTCCTTACTTTGTGAGACTTGAGAGGTCTGTTCTCGCTCACATGGTTGTGTGGCCTGTAATTTTTTTTCCTGCATGTACATTTTTATACACCTAGCGAAACTGCACAGATCTCTCGGTAAGTCCTCCCTCTGCAGCACACGTCACGCACAAACAGCAACAATAGCAAAAGCGCGGTTAGGACAAGAAGTTCTGACCAATCACGCAATATGGGCTCATACCCTTGTGATCAAAATGTTCTGTCAGGAGCCGGTTTACAGAACACATGTGAGAAGTTCACAAGAGAACAAAATTATATAATTTTTGTCACACAACTATTGAAATGACAAATTTTTTTTTTACTTCTCACTTAGTAAAAATTTTCCTGAAGCGTTTCATGCGTGTTAATCAGTGGCTCAGTGGTACAGCAGTTAGCATTGTTGCGCTAAAGCAGCTAGCTATGAGACAGACAGACAGATGGATGTTTTTCTAGGGGTGTCCCTGTAAGCATTAAAAAAAAAAAAGAAAAAAGAAATCATTAGATCGTAATTTGTTTTTGGAGTCATAATGTAAAAGCAGGGCAGCACGGTGGCGCAACTGGTAGAGCTGCTGCCTCTCAGCGAGCAGGTCCTTGGTTCAAACCCCGGTCCAGGGGCCTTTCTGGGTGGAGTTTGCATGTTCTCTCCGTGCATGCGTGGATTTTCTCCGGGTACTCCGGTTTCCTCCCACAGACCAAAAACATGCATGTTAGGCTGATTGGTAACTCTAAATTGTCCCTAGGTGTGAGTGGGAGAGTGAATGGTTGTTTGTCTCGTTTGTCTCTATGTGTCCCTGTGATGGACTTGCGACCTGTCCAGGGTGTACCCCGCCCTTCGCACAGTGATTGCTGGACATGGGCACCAGCGACCCCCGTGACCCAAAATGGAATAAACGGGTAAAGATAATGGATGGATGGATGAATGTAAAAGCAGTATTTCATAGCATTGCGACACAACATTTTGCATTATTTAATGTGGTTTATTTTTAATGACATATATGATTAACGACCCTGTTTTCTGTGTACAATTTATTGCCAAATTAAATAAAACTACTAGATCACTATGTAAAACAAAGCTAAAGAGAAAATAACAGAGCAGGTGCCAGTTTGCTGTCTCCATCAACTGCAGCAGCATCTACTCAGAGCGTTGTTGTTAATCGATATCAGCCTCTTCCTGTCTCTTTAAATGTCTTCCTTGTAATTCTATTCTTTGCTCCCACTTCCTCAATTCTCTGGATCTCTGACTTTCTTTCTTCTCCTCCCTTCATAGGAGTGGGAGTGATGAGAAATTTAGCACACTCAAGCGGTGAAGCGGAGCTCCTTGAAGCTTACCAATGTTCTTTTCCAATAGTCCTGACAATGTTGAATATGCAGTGTGTGTGTATGTGTGGTGGGGGAGGGCTGCTTTTGCTTTCAGAAGGGCATTCTGGGACACGATACATAAATAAATGATGTCAGTGCATTTGGTGGAAAAGTAGAGTTCTCTACACTTTAGTCCAAAAATGGTTCCCTCTCCTGTGTCGTGTCTCAGAGGAATTCATCTTGAAGGAAAGGACAGAGAAAGAGGAGAATACACTGTAATCATGATTTGTCTACGGTTAAAGAAAGAGCAATGCATCTGCCGACTGCAGGCTGGCTGGCTGCAAGACTTTGCTGCAAGTCTTTTGGATAAAAGACGAAACGTTTCAACAAGTTTTAATTTTTATTTTTTGAATCCGTCCAGAGGACCTGACTTAACTTTGTTAGAACGCATCTGATTTTTGTGCAATAATTGAGTCAAGTGTTTAAAAAGCAACTGATGTCCAAACACCATCTATGAGCTAACCAAACCAGTGATAGCTCAGTCTTCCATGTGAAGCCAAGTTTGGATAAGGAATTGTTGTGGAAGTTGAGCAACGTGACATAAACTGAGCTGCTTTTCTTAACAGGAGCACATAAGACCAGGAGCTACAGACAGCTGGTATCAATGAGATAAAAAAGTACCCATGTTGGTTCCTCGGGTGGATTGATGACAACCCATTTGCAGAGGAAGTTAACAAGACAAGCCGAGAAAGAGAGTTAGATGAAGACGTACCTGCTCCCCATCCTTTTGGACTGGCACACCATCCACTGCTGTGGAAATATGAAAAAAGAAAAGAGAGAAAAATATTAATTATCTGTAACATGACAGCTTCTACAAAAAACTACAATAACTCCTTTCACAAAGCAATGATTTAATCCATTACTATGCATTATAAAGTCTTTATAAACTTACAAATAACCTATTTTAAAAGTATTAATAATCAGTTAGAAAGCATACCATGCAGCAGGGTCATTGTTTGACAGGTTGAAGTGCTGATCTTCTAATTATTCATGTAAATTTAAGTGATTGCAAGTTGCTCAGATTATTATTATTTTTTTGCTAAATGACATTTTATGCCTAAAGAAAATGGATCTACATGTACAGTAGGTAGTTTACTGACAAATGTTTAATTTTTAAAATCTAAACGATAAAGAAATGAATAAAAGTAATGACTTTATCATTCAAATGTGTGTGAATGAGAGGGAGTCAGGTGGAACAGTGAAGCTACAAGGAGCAGAGGTCACATGGAGGAATGTGGCAAAGAGTTGAAAAAGAGAGACCAGGCAGGATGGAGTGGAAGGAGAAAAGTGGGATTTGTGTGAAAAGGGTGTCAGCAAAGAGCAAAGAAAAGGTTTAAGATGATTCTCCTTAGGAGTGACAAGGATGGATAAGATTAGGAATGAGATCATCAGAGGTACAGCACAGGTTGAACAACTGGGAGATAAAGTTAGAGAGACCAGACTGAGATGGTTTGCACATGTCCAGAGGAGGGACAGTGGGTATACTGGTAGAAGGATGTTAGAAATGCAGCTGCCAGGAACAAGACAAAGAGGAGATATATGGAGGCAGTTAGAGAGGACATGGAGGTAGATGGAGTGAGGACAGAGGATGCAGAGGACAAAGATGGAGGAGGATGACTCGTTGTGGAGACCCCTGAAGAAGGAACAGCTGAAAGAAGACCTTTGCTAAATAGTGATCCAGCTTCAGTGTGTGAACAATAACTGTTTCATAAATGATTGTTAATGCTTTATAAAGTGTTTACAAACTCATGAATAACATATTTAGAAAGCATTAAAAATCCAGGGACCCTTATTGGAGAGTGTTATTAATATACATTTAATGTACTTAACATTTATCTTCAAATATGAAGCAAAGATGCACACAATGGTGCACAAAATAATCACATTCATCTTTATAAAACTAACCCAGAGGAATCAAGTTATGGGTACAAAAAATAGTTTAACACATAAATACATAATAGACAACAAACATACTTGTGTCAGAAGTAAAAAAAGAATAAAAAATGTAAAATCAAATAGCAGATTTTTCTCCTCAGAAACCACAACTAGTATTCTCAAACACTTTCCAAAACTTTGATTTATGTAACGATGTTTAAGACCTCATGGACTAATTTGATCTATTTAAACAAATATGGCACTTCTATTATGTGTATCCTGTCAAAAACAGATTGTTTGTTGGAATATCTTTTTATATTTTTACAAAAAAACAAATAAGAAAACTGTACGGAGTGAATCAGTCTAAATTGCAGGACATCCTTGTAAAAGCGATTGATGATCTCAATGGATTTCTTCCTGGTAAAATAAAGTAATTACATTTTTTTTTTAATTGTAATTTCTCATATTTAATTTTGACAGGGATTACGTCCCCCTGTCCCAACACTAATCAATTTATGAATGAAAGTCTGCCCCCGCATTTTATATGTTTTGCTACATAATCTGGCATTTTATATGTTTTGCTACATAATCTGGCACAATCTGGCATAAATCGGTCCTGTTGAGTTTTCTGCCCAGGTTCTTTTTTAAGCTCTTGGCTTTATAGAATGATATTCTGTTGTACAGAGTAACTATTGTGTAAAAGACTGCCTCTCCATCATCACCATTACTTCAAGGATGCTGAAGTTGATTCGGCTGAGTTCCCATCAACCCCCTGTAGCTTTTACTTCACCTCCCCCTGTGCCAGAACCAGTGGTGGAGAGTCGTAACACTGGCTCAAGTACTGTAAAACGAGAGTTTTCTAGTCCTTGTACTTCATGACTGATTATACTTAATTTAACTCTTCATCTCTTTCTACCAAAACCAGTCGTTTAGGTGTGTGATCTTTAATGTGTTTCTTTGAGTACACTGTGCAGCTGAACTTTAATTTGAAAATCACCAATCAGTGTGGGATCGTGTAAGAGACACTCTCATTCTATGACTTTCTACTGATAGACAAAGTGTTCCACTCGTCAAACAGCAGATGAAATCCAAACGCTTTGTTGGATAAATGAACGTCATTATCCCTTCTGATTCAACTGTCCAAATCCTAATTAAAACATTGTTTTAATTAGAGAGTCGGTGCTCCTAATAGAGTTTAAACGCAGCCTCGGTCTCTAGGTGCTCCTGTGTATATCAGAGGGTCTGTGCTCTACATGTGCAACTCTCAGAGGGGGCTCGCTCCTGTTTCAGTGTTCTGTGGCTCGGAGCGCGTGTCTGGGGTTCGTTCGGTTCTGTTCCGTGCAGCTGCGTTTAGAAATCACAGGCGATTCCTCGGGAGCTCAGAGAGGCACGGAGAGTGGCTGGATTTTGAGATGTCCGGTGATGTCTGTGACCCACTGACCCAGTGATTCAGAAACATCAGCTCCACTCTGTCTCTGTTGCGCTCTCAGATATTGCCCTTCTCTCTGAACTCCACTCAGTCACATCCGATCGCTGAAAGGGCAGGAGGCAGGGGACAGATTTTAGTCTACAAGTTGTCTGTTTTTCACTTTTATAAGAAGGAGCAGCCAAACTATGAGTGAAATGACTTTGTTTCATTTGCACATTGACTGCTTACCCCAAGGGTTTTCTCTTTTCAGTCTTTTTTATACAGACTGACTATTAAATGACATTAACCTATAACCTTTTTTTTACTTTTATTTTAGTTCCACCTTATTTGTCCATTGTTAATTATGTTCTGAAGTTTATGCTTTAAAATGAATGACCTAAAAGACAAGTCATTGTAGGAATATGGTTGTACATTTCTAGGATAAATGTGTAACATTTTACCAGATAGGCTCGGCAGTTCGCTGGCTCAAAGTAACAGTTCAGCACTTTTGAAGAGGACTTTAGAGGAAAGGTTATGAGCAGCTATCTTACCTGTTGTAGGTAACTTTTAATAGAGAAATAGTTAGATTTTGGCTGGAATGCCGAGCTAAAAGCTAGTCAAAGAAAGACCAAGACTAAAGAAGATTGCCACTGTCTTTAAACATCCATCCATCCACCCAACCATCCATTCATCCATTATCTTAACCGGCTTCTTCCTTTTCGGGTCACTGATACCCATATCCAGCAGTCACTATGCAAGAGGCAGGGGACACCCCGGACAGGTCTCAAGTCCATCAAGGGACACATAGAGACAATTGACACAAATAACCATTCATACTCTCACTCACACCTAGAGGCAGTTAATTTAAAACTACCACTTAGACTAACATGCATGTCTTTGGTTTGTGCGAAGAAACCGGAGTACCTGGAGAAAACCCACACGTACGGAAAGAACGAACTCCACCCAGAAAGGTCCCTGGCCAGTATTTGATCTGGAGACCGTATCGCTGAAAGGCAACAGCTCTAACAACTGAGACACTGTGCTACCCGAAAACAACTCCAATACTATATGTAACTCCATCCATCCATTTTCTTCCGCTTGTCCGGGGTCGGGTCGCGGGGGTAGCAGCCTAAGTAGGGAGGCCCAGACTTCCCTCTCCCCAGCCACTTGGGCCAGCTCTTCCGGGGGAATCCCGAGGCGTTCCCAGGCCAGCCGAGAAACATAGTCCCTCCAGCGTGTCCTGGGTCTTCCTCTGGGCCTCCTTCCGGTGGGACGTGTCCGGAACACCTCACCAGGGAGGCGTCCAGAAGGCATCCTAAACAGATGCCCAAGCCACCTCAACTGGCTCCTCTCAACATGGAGAAGCAGCGGCTTTACTCTGAGTCCCTCCCGGATGATCGAGCTTCTCACCCTGTCTCTAAGGGAGAGCCCAGACACCCTGCGGAGAAAACTCATTTTGGCCGCTTGTATCCGAGATCTCATTCTTTTGGTCACAACCCAAAGCTCGTGACCATAGATGAGGGTAGGAACGTAGATCGATCGGTAAATTGAGAGCTTTGCCTTTTGACTCAGCTCTCTCTTCACCACGACAGACCTGTACAGCGCCCTACTATACGTACTGTACTATATGTAACTATATTTCTAAAAAAAAAAAAGACTGCTCAAAGAGCTGTCTACCACACCACGCCATACAATGCCATATGACACCATACACACTACCACACCACACAATGCCATACCACACCACACCATATGACACTGCACCATACAATGCCATACCATGCCATACCACACAACACACTATACCACACCACACCACACCACACCATACCATACCATACCACACCATACCATACCATACCACACCATACCATACCATACCATACCATACCACAAAACGTCATACCACACATCACATCATACCACACCACATCACGCCACACCACGTCATATCACGCCACACCACTCCATACCACACCACATCACACCATACCACATCATACCACACAACACACTATACCACACCATACCATGCCACACCACACCACATCACACCATACCATACCATACCATACCATACCATGCCACACCACACCACATCACACCATACCACACAACCCACTATACCACACCACACCATGCCACACCACATAACGCCATACCACACCACATCACACCATACCACACCACATCACACCTCACCACATCATACCACACCACATCACACCATACCACATCATACCACACCAAATCACACCATACCACACCACATCACACATCACACATCACCACATCATACCACACCACGTCATATCACGCCATAGGAGCTTTATTTATAAATCTCTTTAATCAAAGACCAAAGTCATGTAGAGTTACAGTCAATACACACAACAGCAGTCACAATACTTAATAAAGCCTAAAAAAGCAACAACAACAACAAAAAACCACAGTTTTATAAGAAAAACAG